CTTCATTCTTTGAGTCATAATTTTAAGACAGATTGGCCTTACCATCCCTCAACCTTTCATAATCTGATACTTCAAGCAAGTGTATCACAATCCAACCACCCAAAGCAGTTAAAAGAAGCCCCGAGTTTCATGTTAAACTTTGTACTCTGAGGAAATTAAAATGAAAACTCAAGAACAGGTTCAGTTATTGGAATCTTAGATCTAGTGAGCTTGCACCAATCCTCCTCAGCCATGTACTGTCCACCCCTGGGACATGTGACAACCTGTCCTTCTGGGACCATCATAGATGCCAATCTAGTCACTGGAACTGGCTTTCAAATACATTTACCACTGAGAGATTTCAAGAACTAAATAAACTTCACCTCCGTAGAAAAGATGGAATTTCTGGTGGAGGAAGGTAGGTTTGACTGGGGGTAGTCTCCCTGTTTATTAGGATTATAATTATCATACTATTTCATAGGAGATATCAGACTTGTTAATTTGTACAACAACCTCATTTTATACCTAGATCCGTAAACTGCATGTGTCTCGAGCCCCTTCCAGCAGAGGGCTCCTGGACCTTGCCCAGCCAACCTGGCACAGAATAACGAGGGCAAGTGGCACGGGCTCTGGTGCTTTCACTCCAGTCTGGACAGCACCCCTCACACGGGCACAGGCAGGGGTTTATGTCATCCTTCTCGTGGGCTTCCGTGTCTAGTAATGGCATGTTGCAATCTATGGCATTCATTAGGACTACTTTTTAATTTAAAAAGCAGCATCCAAAAGATGCAGTAATAAAGAACCCTGTCCACAAAGAAGGTTGAAGTCATCTATCTCTCCAGTGTGGGTGGCATGGAGCTGTCATGAGCCAGGGAGAGCGCTAGAGGCATTCAATGTGAGCAGCCGCCATGACTGCTTTACGCATTTTCTTTTAAGAGCCTATGATATCACAAACATAAAAAGCTTCTGAGTACTGCCCAACGTAAAAATTTAAAGGATGGATGGAGAGTAAAGAACCCTGCTTGGAGTCACCAGAGCAGTGATGGAATAGAGGATACTAGGCTCCCAGGTCAAGCTGGCGTCATGGACACACATGCAGGACCACATTTTCCCACTAATCGAGAATTCAGTATGGAAGGGATTGTTTTTTCAGGGCTTAAACCTATGAAACAAAAAAGAGAGAGGAAGAATCAGATTGTATTTTTTTTTAATGGGGTTGGAAACATATCCAAGATAAAGGAATCCAAGACTCAGAGAGAGGAACCGTGCAGAAAAACTAAACAGCTGCTGGCTCCGAATGTGGTCCTTAGAAAGGCCTGCTTGGAAGGTTGGCTCTTGCCTGACTTCAGGAAATTTGAATTTCAAATCATTTCCCCCATCTCCAGACTGATAAGAGTGGCTAAGCAGGCCCAAACGATTGATGCCAACAACGGGGTGTAACTTTCCGTGCATGACAGGCAGAGGCGCCTGTACACCAGACCCCAGGGAAAACCTGAGCACTGAGTTTTCAGCGAGTTTCCTGAACAGCTTCAGTGCAGAGGTGTGGGGTAGGGACTGGTATCATGGGGACTGCTCTTCTTTGCCTTTCCTGTGCTGGTTTCGCTTCATATCCTTTCACTGTAGTAAATTACAGTTGAGGGTCCTGTCTCACAGCCTGTGAACACTGCTGTCTAGGCTTAGAAGCCAGAGGTGGTTCTTGGAGGCCCCAGCACAGAGATGGGAAGAATCCTCCCACTTCCTACCCTAGATCTCAGAGCTCAGGAATCTGTGGCTCATCTTTCTCTATTGGAAGAAAAATAGAGTTTAGGTGGCTTCTGTTTAAGAAATTGTCTCCATGCTGTGATTAAAGTTGATGAAAAGTCTGGTAGAAATTTTAGGTTGGATTAATTTTCCTTTAATATTGAGCATCATGCTTCATACCTCCCATCTTCCAGTAATGCTGTTGAGAAATGTAAAGTAGCTTGACTTCTACTTCACCAGAGGGCTTAGACCTGATCTGTCCAGTAAAGACCCACTATATGTGTGTGTGTGTGTGTGTGTGTATATATATATATACATATATATATATATATATATATTTAGTTGTATGTGGATACAATACCTTTATTTTATTTATTTTTATGTGGTGCTGAGGATGGAACTCAGTACTTCACTCATTCTAGGGAAGCACTTTATCACTGAGCTACAACCCCAGCCTCAGGAAGTTTTTTCTTTACCAAGGAAAACAGACTGTCACCGGGCCTCAGGTCACTGGACTCAGCTGAATGGGGGTTTGGAAGTGCAGAAGGCTGATCAAGAGAATAACTATCTCCTGGAAACTGAGAGCCCAACACTCTTACTCCACTTCTCCCCCCATCCCTGGAGACTCAGTATCCACCATCCAGATGGGCAGGGCCCTGGAACAGCTTCCTGAACAGCCCAATAAAAACAAACAAACAAACAAACAATAAGATTCTAACAGCTTTCTTCGTGTGAATAACACATCCAGTTCCCATCATGGCCAATAAAACCCTCCCCTGTGCTCAGACCTCCAGGGAACTTTTTTCCCTGATATTCTAATGAAACCAAGAATGTCCATAAATAAGAGGAAATCATCTAATGTGAAAGAGCGATCCATACACGCCAGGAGAAACAGCAAGTGGACAATTCAGAAACCATAAAGAGAGAATCAATTATCACAACGGTGCTCAAATCAGAGATGGCTGTGGGACCAGGGAAACACTGTATCTAGTAACAGAACAGTCAAGACCATGAGAGATGGAAAAGGGGCCTTTGAAAAATGATAGAAGAGAGGAAAATCCCAAAAATCATTTTGGAGGGTAAAGATAAAGTAGTATTCTATAAAGAAAAGCAAAAGATGAAAATATGAGATAGAAGATAAGAAGCTTGATGTTGAATATCAGAACTTGTATCCAAACCACAGGAGAGCCAGCAAGAGAGGAAGGGAAAAAATGGAGAAGAAACAACCAACAGAGTCATTGGGAAATTTTCTAAAACAAAAGTCTTTGCTTTACAGATTAAAATATAATTTTTTACCAAAATGACCCAAACTTAAGAATGTCATTGTACCCTTCCACAATGCTGGGCAAAGAGGAGGTCCTCAAAGCTGCTTGCAGATGATTTTTACAGATCACAAGTAAGGGAGAGAAAAGAGACTGGAAGAGAGAGCACATGAAGCTTCACATTCAATTCTGAAGCAAAATTGTTCCCAGCCTAAACTTTTCCTCAAACTTCTAACCAGGCTTGAGGGTAGCATTAAGATGCTTATGGGGATAACAGCGCCAGACATTGGCCGTGCCAGCAACCTTGTTTAGGATATCGCTGTAGGATGTGCTCCAGCAAAAGAAAGTTCAACAAAGAAGGATGAAGTATTGCAATGCAGGAAATAAAAGACTGAATACAGAGAAAGGAATAAAAGCCCAGCATGGAGGTGCAGAGTGATTCAGGAAACAGAGAGCAGTCAAGCCAGTTTGGAGCAGGTCAGTGGGTTCTCAGAGGGACTTTTTAGGGATAGGCAATGGTATCCTCCCTGCTGTGTCTGAATACCTGATGGAAGATGAATTAAGGGCAAGTTCAGGGGCTGGGGCTGGGGCTCAGCGGTACAGCGCTTGCCTAGCATGTGAGAGGCGCTGGGTTTGATCCTCAGCACCACATAAAAATAAATAAATAAAATAAAGGTATAAAAAATTCACATCAATCTTTAAAAAAAAAAATAAAGGACAAGTTCATAGAAACTAAACAACCACCTCTGCAAAGCAAGAGAAGCCTGGATTTGGACTGGAGGGAGCCCAACAAGAAGCATAAATCAATTGCAGTTCACCACATCACTTTGGGTAGCCTTCACCTACTGATAAATGCACACACTGAACTTTTATCTAACTAGGATTACAGCACAACTATGCTAGGAGGATGGGAGATGGGAAGGCTGAGTGACATGGTAGACAGAAGAGTTACAGCCTCTTTTTCCATGCAGCACAATTCATGCACAATGCCTAAAACACTGGAAAGTTCAGGGTTTTAGCTCCACGGAAGTAGTAGTATCAAGATATCCCACTCAAAGAGACAGGGAAAGGATAGAACAGCTCTCTTATTTAATAATAAAGCTTATTTTGGTGTGTGTTTAATATTGATGATACTATTTTCAAGCATGGCCATGAGTGACTGGCTACCTTATGCGTTGTTGGTTTTCCCTCTACAGAAACATCCTTTCTTGTTAGAGTGGAATTGTGATAACTACTGCATCCAAGATCAATCCATCTATTCCTGGTTTTGCAGCCATAAGATTTAGGACTGTTTTCATATAAACCCGGAGGTGTTCCAAGAAGAATCTCAATACCCTAGTCTTAAATTCCACCTTGTCCAGACATGGTGCATCCACCTGGCAGTCCCTCAGATCTACTCCATGCTTGGCCACCCAGGACCCTCCCACCTGGGTTGTTTTAAGGGATTTCTGGGAGTGAGAGGTTTGAGGAGAAACTGCACAAGGCTATTGGGTGCATTAATGGGGGATGATGGGAAAATGTGTTACAGACTAGAAAGTGGGGTGTATGTGTTCTGTTGAAACTCAACCACCCCAGTGCTTTGGATCTGTGACTCCAGGGCTCACAATATCCACAAACCTCAAACTTAACATTACATGGTCTAAGAATTAAGTCTGGCTCCGTGGTTTTAACTTTGATACTTTAAAGAAAAAAGATAAACATAATATCCAAATAATCGGCATCTTGGGTTACTGATAAAGAAAATGAAGATGATTTTGTGGATTTGCCTTTTTCTCCCACATGTGACTTTGTTTATTATCTTGTTCTCATTGTGTATGCAGGGGAAACTGCACGTTCCTTGTGAAGATGGCCTGAGAGCTGAGCTCTCTGTTTATGTGTTTTCAATTCTGCAGAGCAGCTATGAGTGTCTTTGGATCTGAAGTTTTAAGAAAACTTACCTTTCCCTGAAAGAGAGCAGCTGTCATGACAGGGCCCTGTCTCTGCAAGGGGTTGAGACACACTGTGCATTTTCTCTCCCAGGAATACCAGCCTTGTAACACCAATGCATGCCCTGAGCTGAAGAAGACCACGCCCTGGACGCCCTGGACACCCGTCAACATCTCTGACAATGGCGGCCACTATGAACAGCGRTTCCGGTACACCTGCAAAGCCCGCCTGCCCGATCCAAATTTGCTGGAAGTGGGAAGGCAGAGGATTGAAATGCGGTACTGTTCCAGCGATGGGACCAGCGGCTGCTCCACAGATGGTGAGGAATGGTGGGAGGGACGGACTGCTCCTGGGAGGCCTTTGATCTTGAGTCTAAGGTCATGGAAGAACACGGGTAGTGTGTCTTTGTTATTAATTGTGGCTTTGCAGTCCTTATCACAGTGATCCCTGTAGAACAGAGTGGACTTCACAGCAAATTGAAGGGGGAGACACTTACTATGAGAATTTAGGTCTATCCCCCCTTGTCCATGGGGGGATGCATTCTTAGACTCCCAGTGGTCACCTGAAACTGGACAGTACCAAACACCATACAAACTTGGTTTTCCTTGCACACACAAGCCTATGATAAATTATGCACATTAAGAGATTACTAACAATAAGTAATAATAAAATAGAATACTTATAAAGATATGCCATAGTAAATGTTATGTAAATGTGTCTCTTCCCTGAGTCAACACAAGCACTGATACTTTATGATTGTGGTTGGCCATAAGTAACTGAAACCGCAACAAAGGACACCATGATAGGAGATGGTTCTGTGCATTCAGGCCCCAAATAGCACTGTGCTTATGAAAGGTCCACAGTAGGGGGTTGGGGATTTAGCCCAGTGGCAGAGCGCTTGCCTAGCATGCGTAAGGCCCTGGGTTTGGTCCTCAGCCCTGTAAAAAACAATTACTAAAAAAGTATAAAAAAATACAAAAAAGGATTAAAAAGACCAAAAAAAAAAAAAAAAAAAACAAGGTAACAGCGAAAGGTCCACAGTAGTTTGTGCGAGATTTATTTTGGATGAAAAAATACACTGAGGAAGGACTTTCTATAGATTTTCTGGGACTAAAATATAAGGTGAAAATAGTATTTCAGTTTATTTATCCTCAAAGTGGACCAAGTCAGGAAGAGTGGATTCCTTTGTTTTACTCATACAGGATGTTTCTGTTAAGATGCACCATGTGTGAGAAAGCCATGGACATGTGCCATTGCTTCTCCCCCTGAACTGGGCAGACCCCTGAGTGCCATGTTAGCAGCCTGGAGAAAGCCTGGGGAGGGAGCCAGACCTGCCCTCTGTCTGGTCCCAATGCTCTGCAGTTCTATCCCCTGGGCAGGTTGCTTACTCTCCCTGGAGCTCCTCTCTCTGCCCTTGAGAAAGCGGGTTGGAGCCTGGTGACCCCAAAGAGCCTCATTCTTTGCTTTGCTCTTTGTCTCTTTTTGTATTCTTCAGACGCATCCTCGGAGCTTGGTTTGATGAACACGATGACAGTTACATCTTGCGCTAGAGCCTTCTCAGACATTTCCCAGCACTTCTGTGTTGTGGTTTTACTTTCATTCTCCAGCATAAATGGGACATAGAAAGGGCTGGCACCACTGATGTCATTTCTAAAGAAGGGGTCTTCAGGCCCAGAGGGGCTGGCTGCCTTGACAGATGCCCCAGAGCTGGGGAGCTGGATTGCAGTGCAGGATTGACGTGGGTGGGATAAATTCATGGGGGACAGTGCTTCTCCTCTGTATGGCCACCAGGAAAGCTCTGAGTAGTGGCCAGTGCTGCTCACATGCCAAAGGTCCCCAGGCTGAGGCCTGCTGGGATACTGGGAGCTGGGAGCTAATGGACATCTGGGATACTCAGTGACCCCAAAGTTGTTTCAAATACCTTTTGCTATAAAAGTACACTTCTCATCCTGTACCTGTATTTGTTCTTCTAATTTACTTTCTCTCTATCTCAGACTAGGCTCCCCATAGCTCAGCAATCACACAATCTTATTGTTAAAAAAAATATATATAGTCTTCTTTGATAAAGGGTATCGGTAAATACACTATTGACATAAGTGAAACCAACACCACCCGCCTGGTGAGCAACCAAATGAGTCACTCTTGTTCAGTTTGTAAAATTCTGCTTTTGTTAGAAGAAAGGATACATATATTGAAACACCAAGAGGAAGATAACTGAAGCCCAGTTCAAAGATGGACATTTTATAAGGGATAGCCTGGTAATCTCCAATTAGGGTTCTGAGACAAAACACAAGAATGTCAACAAGAATTTCATATACTTTTCAGAAATTTTTTTTCTAGTGTAAGTATGTCTCATGATTTTTTAGGATAATTAGGAAGTTTAGGAAGTTCATCTTCATTCATCTTATTTGCTAAACTTGGCAATTCTGTCTCCAACTCGTTCACTTGTTTCTTATTTTAAAACAAACTGTGATCTACTTCTGACATCAAAAATCTAATGAGAGAGTGAGGGATGGTGTTCCTCTTTAATTAGCTTTGTTCTGCCTTCTGAACTTATTCCTTCCGTTCTCAAGACACATATAAAACCAGAGTTAATATTTGTTTTACACATTAATAATAAAGTGTAGGGAAAAGATGCGAACACATTTATAAAAGACATCCTATATTTTCCCCAAAAGTATTCCATGGATGTGGCTTAAGAAGAAGTTCTCCCTTCCTGTGTCTTCAAGGCTTTAAGTTCCATGACCATCCTCATGTTTTGCTGTTGAAGTCTTGAAAACACAACAGTGCACCCCTTTGCCTCCGGCACACAACGCGAGGCTGCCTTGTGTGTGGTTTTTCTTTACGGATGACCAAGGAGCTCTGGTTCATCCCAGAGGAACACTCGGAGGGCCCGTGTCCTCCTGCATGGCAGAGAAGGCGAGTCTCTGGGCAAACACTCAGGTGCTCAGCAGCAGACAGCCCTGGGTGTGTTTGTTTCCTCATGACCTTGATTTCCCTGAACTGTGTGGCACCATTAGAGAGGCATCATTTAAAATTTGCCACAGGGCCTACATTTGAGATAAGCAAGGAGGCATGTTTATCAGAGCGAACACAAATTCTGATGAAGGCTACTGACGTAACAGGTTGGAGGGCTGGGAGGAGGCCTGCTACACAGCAGGTCTCAAGGCTGCCCACTGTGATGCCCAAGACTCTTCTCCCTGCACACCCAGCACGACTACACTATCACTTAGCGTCACTGGCTCCCGGGAAACACATCTGTTAGTAAGTGTGCTCAGACTGTCATGGGTGCGTTTGACATGTGTCAAAGTGCATCTAGTTCCTGGGTATGAGTTCTCTGGAGTAGACAGACGAGTGTCTCTGTGGACCGTGATTCAGGAGCAGTTAGCTCAGCACCTTTAACCAGCATGAACTCACATTTGAAAGGTTAACAGGTGCCAAACATGGTGTAGCACGCCTGTCATCTCAGCAACTGAGGAGGCTGAGGCACAAGGATCACAAATTCAACTGAGACCTTATGCAACTTAGTAAGGCCCTGTCTCAAAAATAGAAAGGGCTGAGGATATAACTCAGTGGTTAAGCACCCTTATATTCAGTCCTTGGTACTAAAACAAGAAAAGGAAAAGAATGTTAACAGGTAAAGAAGTAGTTTTAGGAGATGCCTGAATCCTGTTTCCGTTTTCCCAGGCCAGTGTTCTTCATGGTAAGTGCTACGCACAGTGCATGAAGGCAGTTTGTAATAGAGTCCCAAGAGAAGCAAAAAAATTGTATATTCTTTGTAAGAAATTTCTACCAAAAAATAAATAAACTACAAATTCAACACCTACTAACTTCCTGTTCAGTGTAAAGACTTCATTCCCTACATTCACAAATTAGTTCCTATGTGCATCCTTACTGAATAGCAGCTTGGGAAAGAAGTCTGAGTAATGGGAGGCTGTCACTCAGCTACAGTATTTTATTGAGGTGTGAAAGGCAAATTCTAGAGAGAAGCTCGTGCTGATGCCGACAGGCCAGTGTGTGCGTGGGCCCTGCAGGACTCCCGTGGAGTCACGCTCTGTGTTTCCCCTGCCAGGGCTGTCTGGGGACTTCCTGCGAGCCGGGAGATACTCAGCCCACACCGTCAACGGGGCCTGGTCAGCCTGGACGTCCTGGTCACAGTGCAGCCGCGACTGCAGCAGGGGCATTCGGAACCGGAAGCGCGTCTGCAACAATCCTGAGCCCAAGTACGGGGGCATGCCCTGCCTGGGCCCGTCCCTGGAGTACCAGGAGTGCAACATCCTGCCCTGCCCAGGTGAGCGGTGATCTGAAACGTCCAGCAGCAAGGACGGCCTTTTAGCTTACCCTGGCTCTCGGAGCTCCCTGGCCTGGTGTTGGGACACGTGTTCTTAAGGAATGTCAGACGGTGTCAGCAGCTGTTGGATGAACCTAGTGAGACCGACGAGGAAGAATAAAGGGGTCCTCTGTTCCCAGCCACCCGCTCCCACGGACCTGAAGCCAAATCCCGAGTCATGTCCACCAGTACTAGCACAGCCCCCTTTTCAGGCCGGCAGGTAGCCTCACATCTCCAGGTGAAAAGGGCAGGCAGCATCTGGGCTGGATTACATTCCTTTTCCTCTTTTTTTAAAAAAAGAAATTAAAATCTTCCTTAGAGCAATGCCCTGCAAGGATTGTGGGCTCTGGATCCTGTCCCTAACAGAGATGTTGGCCCTTCTGATGTGGTCTGGAGAGAAGTGATGTCCCTGAAGTATGCTTCAGCCCACCTTTCCTGGGACCCGAGGGACCCAGGTCTCCCTGCTGTTCTCCACCGGCCCCAGGTTCTCACGCAGGGTTGCAGGGGTCAGAGCTGTACCAACAGGTGCCTGCCAGCTCAGTTCCTAGTCCCACTGTCTCCTGCCAGAGGGGTTCTACCTCAAGAATCCCAACTTCTGAAGATGCAGTCTCCTCTCCTGGAGGCTGTGCAGGGCTGGGAAGGGACCTGGCTTTTGGTTGCACTGAATTCCATATAAGCACAAGATATTAAAGTGAGCTAAGAGCCCAGGGCTTTTGGAACTGCCGTTCTACAACCCCTCTGTCTTCCCTCTGATATTCTGACTGTCTCTGCTCCCTTCTGCCATGGCTCCCAGGGGAGCTCTGTCACCTAAATGGCTTCCACCTGACCTTCCCACCGTCATGGGTTCTGTAACCCAATGACCCACAGCCACCCTGTGCAGGTCACTGGATGCTGTCTGTGCCTTCTTCCTGGGTGAAAGCCCAGGAGCTCAGGGCCTGGGATGGTTCCACTGCAGAAACTCAGTCTTCAGCACAGGCTGGCACACCTAGAAACACCCATCACAAGTGTTTGTTGAATGGAGAGTGAACAACCAGCAGGTTACCCATCTTCCTTCCTTCCCCTGCCCATTGCATTCCCAGCACTTTTGAGCAGTTTGGAGGGCCCACTGTGTGCTGCTCACAGGATGGCAAAGACACAGTGTTGTGGTCCACATCAAAAAGGAGCCTGGAGTTGGGGGAGAAGGCAGCTGTGAATAATGTCAAGACAGCATGGCCATCAGATGTTAAGATGGTGACAAGATAGAGTGGCCACATCCGCCATGCACCTAGAGAGCTGGGAGAGCAACAGCTGCAAGACACAGGCTCTTCCAACCTGGGAGTTAGTCAGTTGACAGGAAGGGATGGGAAGTGGCGTGAAGGGTCATTACAAAGCTGGGTACAGAGGTTTCAATGGCATCAGATTTTAGCATCTTGTCCGGTAGTACGCACCGCTTTCTCAGTTTTTCGAGCAAGAAACTGGCTGTGGGAAGTATTTAATAAGCATTTGTTGGATGAGGAGAGGTGCATGGATGCACGATGTATGGGTGGGTAGATGCACGTATGAACTTATGTATGTATGTTTGGATGATTGGATGGATGGATGGATGGATGGATGAATATTTGGATGGATGGATGGATGGATGGATGAATATTTGGATGGATGGATGGATGGATGGATGAATATTTGGATGAATGACTGGATGGACGGATGTATTGATGGAGGGATGATTGGTGACTGGATGGATGATAGATAGATGGATGGATGGATGGATGGATGGATATACAGAAGAAGGGTGGATGAGCGTGCAGATAAAACTGGACACACAGTTCCCAGCTTTGTAACAGAGGCGTCCCGTAATGTGCTCTTGACAGCTGCACTGCTCTCCCAGGGCATCTCAGCCTGGATTTCTCCAGCCTCAGGAGATTCCTCCCTTGACTGCCCACTTTCCCAGCCAAGAGGATGCAGAGAATCTGGGAAAGGTCACAGAGCTGTTCTTTCCCACAGCCCCATGGCAGGGTTCTTCCCCTGGGTGCTGGGAGGGAGCCCGAGGGCGATATGTCTTGATGTGAGTCAGTGCTATGAACTGGAGCACGGGAAGCTGCCACGGGAATGTCAGGGCCCCTCCCTCCCACACCTCCCCAGGCTCCACTCACTTCCTCACTGCTCTCAGCAGAACACAAATTCCTCCAGACACTGGAGGCTGCCCTGGTCCCTGAGTGTGAAGGCAGCCCCTCCGTCTCAGACACTCCATTAGCATCGTCTGTGGGTTGTTTTATTTTTATTTTATATTTTTAGTTGACTTGGCAGTCAAACCAGAACTTTATATACATGACCTAAATATCTTGAAATAGCTCTGGCCTCATTTTCCTTTAAAAGCCAGGTCCCATAGAGTGTCGTGGAGGATTCAGAGTGCCATGTCACTTTCCACTGGGGAGGAGCTGAGTTCAGGCTGGATGTGCTAATGTCAACACTCACCCACTTCCTGGGGGATTCCTAACAACTGGACAGACTAACTCAGCCAGAGAGTGGGCCGCCCCAGCCTGAGGGGGTTGAGCCGCCCACCTTCATGGAGCTTTTGACTTCATTTAGCACGTTCTCCTCCTCACAACTCATTCTGCCGGGTGAACAATCACAAATGATCATTGTGTTTCCAAATGAAGTTTTTCCCTATGATCTAAAATGAACATAGACATAAATGAACTAGAGCAGTGTAAATAACTTTTAAATGAAATCACTAACAGTTCCATCTCCAATTGTCACTCGTAACTTTGAGCCAGTGCTGAAATGACCATTTCCTCTCCTGCTGTGGCCTTGTCTAACTAGAACCTTCTCCTCTGTCATTCACCTCTGACCTTGAGAAATGGGCGGTCCTTTCCCCTTCACACCTTTGTTTCTTGGTGGTGTGTTTGATTCAGCACAAAGACTCCAGACCCTGGCTGACAAAGGTAGAGAAGAGAGATGGTCCCTTGTTGCTCTGTGATACGGAAACAGGATGAAAGCAACCTCAAAGCCTTCCTGGGACCCCTGTGCCCTGACAGGGTCAACATACACTCCTTTGATCAGATTTAACTAGGATGGTTCCTCTGAGGGAGAAGACTCTGAATGAAGTCCAAGTGCATCCAGGTGTGTTCCCCAGTGACTCTGGTGGACACCTGGAGTGCCTCTCCCTGCTGGACTCCAGAGTCCTCGATTCCTGGGAGGGCGACCTCTGCTCAGTTCTTGGGAAGTGGGGTGCCCTGCTCTCCTTCAGCTCTAACAGTGTGGTGCAGCGTTCTGGGCATTGATACCGTAGCACGTGTGCCCTCACCCTCGGGGCTTTATATCTCTTTATATCTGTGCCCAGGATGCCGGGTGAGTGGATGCATTTAGCTTTCCTTGGCTCCCTTTGATTGCTGGCAACTTCACTTTGCAGTAGCGATGAAGAGTTGGCTAGAATTCCTAGACCAAAACTTGTGCCCTCTTCTGTCGCATTACTTAATCTATCAATTTTATTTGATCAAAACCCATTCCCTGCAGTTAATGGCTTTGATTCCTTGAGGGAAACATGGCTCTGAGCTTGGGGATGTTTGTCCTATCTTCCCATGAACCAGCCTTTCAGAGGCTAGATTACATGGTGATCCCAGCCACAGGAGATTCCCCCATGAATTCTCAGCATAGAAATGGCAGGAGTGACGTCAGACCCACACTGTTGGTGCGCCTGGTTCTATAGGTAGCCTGCCAGCCTCCCATCCAGAGCTCCCAAGTCACTCGCTCCATGACCTCACCTCTTAGTACCCGGAGCCACTCATTTCTAGAATGTTCCCCAAGGCTGTTGTGAGGACCATTGCCACAGTGACTGAGCTCATTATTATCCTTGTTATGCCCAGGCTGTCCCATCCCTGACTTGCTGCTCTCCACTTAGGGGCTCAGGTTTGTGTTACACCTTGATTCAGCGGCACGTCCCTTCTTCCCCACATGGAGTTGTACAAGCCCCTCACAGTGAGTCGGCATCATTAAGCTTTGCATTCTGTAGTTTCAACTTTAAAAATACTAGAGACTTTCTGATGTGAACTCATACTACGGTGCTCCATATCTGTTTCCATGTGGGCAGACCACCTCACGGCTAGGGTCAGTGACCACCTCATGGCCAGGGTCAGTGCGCCAAGGTGCAGGTGGAAACCTGACATACGAGGAGGACACCCTTAGGAGGACATGACATGCAGGCCAGCTGGGAAGTGACCTGGGGCTCTGGACAACTCCAGCCCCGTGTGGCTGCCTGAGAGAGTGGAGCCTGGGCTGGACTCCCCTCGAGTCCCTCTGCACAGAAGCAGCTCTTCCCCAGCCCTTAGAGTATGTGCCTGCAGACAGTGAAGTGCAAGTGGAGCTCAGGGCGAAGCACAGGGTGAGCTTGGGTTTCAGCTCCCCGGGGGCCACTTCAGCAGCTGGATTCTGCCCAGGGGCTCCTCAGAACTTCAAGCAGGAGCCGTATTCTCATTTAATGGGGTAAACCACCTTGTGCCAGGAGGACTTGCTCATGATCCCAGAGGGACCGTGGGTATGGGTGAGCAGAGGGCTCTTAGACCAGATCAGATGTGGACTGGCATAGCATGAATGGAAATGTGGGATAAATGTGGGATAAATAAATATCCCGAATATCTCGGGATAGAATGAGTGTAGGAGATCACAAAATGATACATGGTTATGGAAAGATTGTGAAGAAGCGCACTAGTGTTTTTGTTTTGTGTTGAAATAAAAGCACTTAACATGAACAGGTCACTAAATGCATGATATAGTGTTGCTGGCTACAGGCCCAGGGTTGTACAGCAGATCCCCATCGTCCCTTCTTCCCCACCCCTGGGAACACCATTTTACTTGCAGCATCTATGAATTTGACTATTTTAGATGCCATGCATGACTTACACAATACTCACATTCTGCTTGACTTATGTCACTTAGCATTATGTCCTCCTCCATGCTGATCCATGTTGTTGCACACGGAGAAATCTCCTTTTTGAAGTCTGAGTAATATTCCATTGTATCTATATACCATATTTTCTTTATCTATGTATACTGATATTTTGGATGTTTCCATATTTTAGCTGTTTAGTAATGTAATTGCTGATATCTCTTAGAGAGACTAATTGCAATTTTTTCCTGGTGTACTCAATTTTTGAAAGTGAGATTTCTAGATCCTATGGTAATTGTATTTTTAATTTTTTAAGAATCACTGTTCTGTTTTTCATAAGCAGTTACACCAGCAGCACACAAATGGCTGCAGTTTCACCACATCCTTACCTACATTTTTTTATTTTTTAAATCATAGCCATCCTAAAAGGAGTGACTTGAGCTCTCACTATGGTTTTGATTTGTTTTTCCCTGATGCCCACTGATTCTTTGCGTCTGTTCAGATATGTAGGAGACTGGTCTGTGGGTCTTGGGATCCCAGCCTGGAGAAGACAGGGGCTAATGTGAGCAGAGAGAGAAGGGCTCTGTTTATGAGCAGTCATGGCGGGTTCTGGTCCAGGAAGCAGTCCTGCCTGACATTCACGCTGTGAAGCTGCAGTTAATACCCAACCCTAAGTCTGGCTGCTGATGTTGAGATGACATCTCCAGCCATTAAAACCTGCCACCAGGTCTGCGTGGCTATGCGGTTTGCTCGTTTAGAGGCTGCATTTATGGGGCACCCTTCAGTGACCTTAGTGGGACCACTGGATTTTTTCTCCTCCTCTGTCAAACCGTCACCCAACCCATGAGGAGGGCTGTGACTTGAATTCCTGATCTGGGGATTTAAGTCTTGTCTGGCCAACTACATGGTGCAGAGAGCAAGGGTAAGAGCTAGCCAGGGGTGGCCTTAGTAACCACAGTGTGCTGCGTGTTCCTTCTTGGGGAACTGGGGCTTTCGTATGGCATGCATTGTGCTCCTCTGTCATCTGGAGACAGGACATGTTTAGAACCATTTTCTGAAAGAACAAAGAAGGGGCCCTGGAGAAGGAAGGGAAGGTGCACCGAGCTGTATGGATGGCCCAGGGAAACTTCCCATGGCCGCACGTGGCCAGGGCTCAGCTGCTGCCTGCACCCACGCCTTCTGTAGAGCAGATTCTGTCTTCACCTGCATCCGATTGATCTGGTTGGGGTTTCTGAAGCATTGTGACCTTGTGTTCCTCCCCAGTCGACGGCATGTGGTCCTGCTGGTCATCCTGGTCAAAATGCTCAGCCACATGCGGGGGTGGACACTACATGAGGACCCGCTCGTGCACAAATCCAGCCCCCGCCTACGGAGGGGACATCTGCCTGGGACTGCACACGGAGGAGGCGCTCTGCAACACCCAGCCCTGCCCAGGTGAGCGGACCTAGCCTGCTGCCGGACCTGGAGAAAATTCGCCTCTTTTCCTCCTTGAGAGAGAGAGAGAGAGAGAGAGAGAGAGAGAGAGAGAGAGAGAAAATATAGTAATCCATAATAGTTTGGTTCCTTTTGACAAAATCACACATGCATGGGATTTGATTGACTCCGTTTCAGTCCCCGGTGCATACACCCCCTTTCCCTTCCCTCCTCCCTCACCCCTTTCTCCTCTTCGGCTCTACTGATCTTCCTTGTGCTCTTTTATTTACTTATTTTTGATGGGTGCTTTCTACATATACTTACAGGGAGAATTTCCTGTGGTATGTTTATAAGTGCACATGCCATGGTTTTTAAAATCTATTCTACGTCCTTTCCTTTCCTCCTCCCTCATCTCCATCTCCTTCCACTCCACTGATCTTCCCTATATCATCATGATACTTGACCCCCATCTTTTTCCTTTGTTTTGGACTAACTTTCACATCTCAGGGAAAACACTCAGCCCTTGTCTTTCTGAGTCTGCCTAATTTCGCTTAGCACCATGTTCTCCAGTTTCATCTATTTACCAACAAATGCCATAACTTTATTATTCTTTATGGCTGAGTAAAACTCCATTGTGTATATAGACCACATTTTCAGTATCTATTCACCTGATGATGGGCATCTGGAATGGTTCTGTATCTTAGCTACTGTCATTGGCAAACTCATCTCTTTCGGATTTGTAAATGGTGAGGAGGACGATGGTATCACATCAGAGTGAGTCCTGGAAGGGGAACAAGTCAGTCCACAGGGGCACCCTTAATGTGACTTCCTAGCCATTGTTCTATAATCAAATCCTTTTCACTTTGTCTGGTGTTCAAAGCCTTCATCACATCAGAGGTGAGTGTGTGCATGTCATTATGACACCCAAGCTCTTTGATTAACAAATAGATCCCGATTTGGCCTTCACGTCTCTAATTAACACTAATGGCTCTTGGCAGCTCCTTGTTGTACTAGGGAGAAAGCCAGAAGAAACAAGCACCCGTGAGCGCCCCCTGGAGGCTGGAGGGCTGAGAGGGTGTCTTGCCTGCAGTCCCTTGTCTCCTCTGCTTGCCCAGGGCCTGGCCTCAGTCTTCTTCTGAGGATCCCCAGAGCTGCATTTCAGGAACACATGCTAAAAGGTCACGGGAGGCAGTAGGCATTCTTGAGGACACCTCACCCAAGTTCGATGGCCTGTCATCCAGAGGTGGTGCAATTAGAGAAAATATAAAGCATGAAATCAAATCAGTAACCAGATTATTTTAAAAAGTAAAAAAATCTTAAAATATCTTACCTGATGTCAGGATCCAAGATTTTGTTGTTAGGGGTCAGCATGAGGACCAGAGATTCCAGGTGTGGCGTGCCTCACACCTGCCTCAGAACCTGGGTGAGGGAGCTCCAAGGTCCTGGGAGACACAGGTTGTGCTGAGGCAGCCTGCCTGCTGCAGAAGCAGCCTGGCTCCTGACACATGGGTCCTCTTATCCGAAAACTTCATAGTTTATTAGCTTGCTCCCAGGGATCTTTCTGGAAAGTTCCAGTCATATTAAAAAGAGCTTCAAGACCAAATTCTCAGTCATTTCAATAGCAGGGCCTCTGTACATTTTGAAGCAAAAGCTGTTCCCTTGACCTGGATCAAGGTGCAAGTTGGATTTCCAAATTTTTCTTCCAAACTGCACAGAAAATGTACCCTTTTTTTAATTGGTTAATATTACTTAAATAATATGGAGTGTTCATTTTTAAACCTTTTTTCATAGATATGAGTTTCTCTTTTCACACATCTGTATGCCTGAGTGATTTGGACAGATTTCAGCCATTTTTCTACATAGGACAAGGAATTCTTTCATCTCTCTTCTTCTGGACTTGACCCAAGGCTTGTGAACTGGCCTGCTGCTCTTTTGTGCTGGTTCGCCTGGGGTGAAATGAATCCTGCCCTGAGGGCACCCTGGCTCTGCTATATTGACTCTGCAAAACTGTTGTTAAACCCCAGAAAGTGTTTTAAGCTCCCATTCAGCCACTGGGGATATCTCATTAACACACCTTCCTTCTGTTGTCTGAGCAGAGTCCTGTGGAAATGTGCAGGAATTTTTCAGGAATGCATTTGAGGCTGCACTCTGCAGGGGAGCTTGGCCCTGTGAGAAACGGTGACGTCACTGAGAATTTCTGCCCCCCACTGAGGGTAGTTTATTCACTGCTGGGTCTCAGGGTTAGCTTATTGACTCTAAAGACAATTTTTATAGCATTAAAATAAGGTGGTCTTTAGAAATGTTTATGGAAGCACATTATATCTGATTATATTACACCAGGTTGTTGTTTTTTCTTTTCCATCCTCATTTATTTTATTTACTGGACTGGTCAGAAGATATGACTACATCTTATTAAAAACATGAGAACCATGTTCCTTGGCAGATTAATCTTAGCAGGACTTCTTGCCCCATCTCCCATCTTCTGTCCACCGCAGAAAGCTGGTCGGAGTGGTCAGACTGGTCCATGTGCGATGCGTCTGGCATCCAGATCCGCGCCCGCCAATGCATCCTTCTGTTCCCTGTGGGTGGCCAGTGTTCCGGAAACACCACTGAGACCCGGCCATGCGTTTTTGACTCTAATTTCATCCCAGGTAAGTGCAGCGGATGGTGTCAGTGTGAACAAAAGCATCCCGACATTTAGACAGAAAGTGGTTCACGGGTCACAGTGTGGTCTCGGAGGCTGTGTCTGGTGAAGCCCAGATGATGATTCCATCAACTCTCATGGTTTGTAGGTAATAAAAGTGCAGATTTGTAGCTAACTTCAGATTTGGACTTGAACTACTTCTTGAGTTTAAGATTTTTTCAAACACAATGCCATCCATAATTTATTGATTCTAATAGAAGATTTTTCTCTAAAAAAAATGGAAATGTGTTATTTGGTTATTTTAATATGGGGTTAAGTGCTTTGGCAATATTGTGTGAGTATCTGCACAGAAAAAAAGGTTCATTCTCTATAAGACCGTTAATATATTTGGGGAAATTGATTTGCATCATGATTCTCACCTTGGAGAAGAAGTGGCTTGGCCTCTGGTCACAGACGGGGTATGGGAACCGGGGCTCAGTTGTTGTGGGTAGCTCTTTGCCATTGCCTTCTCACAGATGGCTGGTGCTCTGCATATGCACACACCACGTGGACATGCCCACAGTGCCCCTTAGGACTATAGCGTGGACCAAAGCAAACCAACATATTGCAAAGAAACAATAGGGCTTCGTGAACCAAATTGTCTTCATTTCCCTGCATTTGTGGAAAAAATAATAGTATCTGAGAAACAATTATTAGCCTTAGCCTTGTAAGTCATCTGTACCATGGAGGGTGCAGAAATGTGTTATTTATCTGTTTGACTATAGACATATTTTTAATTTTTGTTTTATAATGGAAAATCAATGTAGGAGAACTAGACTCCTGAAATGTTGCCCCCACCCTGGTGGGGGTTGAAACACTTAGAAGACTTCTCATTGACATTTTGCTTGTGGAGTGTAGATGTGGCATGATAAAGGGCACCAATGTGCTCCTGGATATGACTTTGTTATGGTGACTTCCTTTGAACTTTGGTGACTTGGCTACCACTTCACTGGGACTAAAATGGTCTTGATGCAATAGAATACTCACTGAGGAACAGAGGTCCCAGGGCTGGCAGGGGACATTCTAACAGGAATCAGCAGGTGCTTTGGTTGCAGCCTAAGGGGCCACAGAATTGTTTTTTTCTCCTGTGATAATGAATCTTGTCCTGTCCTAGTCAAAGTGACTGACCCAATCCTTCTTGGGTTGTTTGAAACAATAAACAAATATAAACTTGTTTTGAAAACTAATCAAGCTTTGGAAAGTTGGACTCTCAACAGATTAAAAAAATCATTGGGCCTTTTGCAAATGAAACATTAATGTAAATGAACCTACTTCCCAACACCTTCATGCATTGTGATTGGATTTTTGTTTTTCCAGAAGTATCTGTTGCAAGATCAAGCAGTGTAGAGGAGAAAAGGTGTGGAGGTAAGAGTTTCCTTTTAACTAGTTTCTTACTGGTATTCTGGTCTCTTCCAAATATTTCCTCCCCCGTATGTCTTTCTTGTTTCTGCTATTGGCAAAGAATTACATGGTGGTGAAACTCCTGGACCCCAAACATCTACCTTTGCATTAATAGTCAACATTTAAGATGTGGCACAGTGGTTCTCAGAGTGGGGTCCCTTGGCCAGCATCATCAGTATCCCCTGGGAACTTAATAGACATGCAAATTCTGAGGCCCCAGTCAACTACAGAACCAGAACCTCTCTGAGTGGGGCACAAGAATCCGTGGCTAAGTGAGCCCTGCAGGGGACTCTGTTGAATGCAACACTTGATAAACCAGCGATCTTGATATGAGTTCAGGGAGATTTTCCATGAATAAAATGAAATCCAAGGAGTTTGTTTATATTTATGTGCAAATCCATTGCACCTATCCTTGAATCTCCAGCCCACTGAAATGGCTATATTATAATGGGGGTACAAGATTATACCTAGATCACTAGAGAAATTTTTTCAAACTGCAACACTGAGTCTCAAAAACCACATTCTTTGATTCAAGCATATGGAAGTTTGGACTTTGCAGTCTGTACCTTCTAAATACCTTAAAGTTCTTGTTTTCATTGAAAATATGCCTGGACAAAAGACTTATCATCCAAAGACCAAAGCATAACCCATGTCCACCTTGATATCTGAGCCAATGTCCATATCTTCACATGTACTACTGATGGCAAATAGATATCAATGTCCACCACAATCCATTCCACCAGAGGAATCCAGAGTGCTCAGCACAGCAGGCTTCCTAACCATGTTTTAGGAATGTACTTAGCATTAATAACTCATGGATTAGGAGATTGCTGTCTGTACATCTGGTTTAGTCAGCCATCTGTTAATGTGTCCACTAATTCATTCAAGAATTTTTGCTAAGCATCCACTCTGTGTTAATTTTGTGAGGGGCACCAGGTTTACATGGAAGACCCAAGTGGCCCCAACACCTTTGGAACTCATAAGGGACCCTGTTGCCTAAGACACAGGTCGGGACATTCATCTTCCCATGATATAAGTCATGCAGCAAGCTCACCAACTGGCAGTTGCTAATACAGGATCCACTTGTGAGATTAATATGCAAGGGCTTATATAAAATGATGGCAGTGGCTAGTGTCCTTTCATATGTTCAGATAGCCCTGTGTGCCAGACATTATATTCAGTGCTTCAGACAAGAAGTGTCCCATATGACCCATACAAAGTGAATTTGCTAGGTACTGCCACCTACAGTTTATATGGAGAAGCCTTGGAAGTAGAGGAGAGTTTGAAAGTGACAATTTCAGATTCTAGAAGGACGTTCAGGTCTCATACCCTGTATTATACAACACCCACAGAGTCTGAAGCTATGCTCCAGAATCAGTCTCTTAAACGATGCCTCACATTAGCAATGTGAGGTGCTGATGTAGCAGAATGAGTCATGTCAGGTCACGAGTCACTGTCAGATACATGGAGAAAACCACTTCCCAGGGATTTTGCACCTGGGAATTGTAGAAAAGGGATAGTGTCCATGCCTTTGTACTTGTGTCATAAATGGGGCCTGTGAAGCTCAGAGAGGTAAGGCACTGGCCCAGGTCCACACAGGTCATACTCAAGGGTGCAAGGGATGAGATCCTGGCCAGGGGTACAGTGGGATCTTTAAACACATAGCACTATGGAAAAAGTGACCTGGTAGGATCTAGATGTCCGTGTCCAGGGACCTCGAGTCACAGCAGCCCTGCTAGGTAACGATCTTGCTCAGCTCACAGTCCAGGGCTGTCAGCTGCCCTCAGTCAAGGGCAGGTCAGGAGTGGAGCAGTTCCTAAGGTGTTTTCCCATTCTCAGGAGGCCAAGTCAGAACTTGAGGAGTCACATAGCTGGGCCGCAGTAGAGGTTACTGGTCACCTATACTCACTGCCGGGGGATCCCATCACCTTGCCCAGGACAGGCCACCCTGTTCCAATGTGCAAATCCCACTGGGGCCTTAAAGACCCAGGAGTTGTTCTGTAGGCCCCTCCTGTACTGCCATGCTGCTCTGAGTCTTGGCACCAACGGTGCCAAGAGCTGTACCAACCAGAGCCAATCATGAGGTGCTGTGGGCTGAATCACAGAAACTTTGATTACTCTGCATTGCCTTAGGTCTTTAAGCTTCTAAGAACTGATTGCTTTAGGTCTTTAAGCTTCTGACTTGGACATTCCACAGCAGGTAAGAGAAGAAATGGATCCTAGCATAAGGCTAAGAGGTAAAAATAAGCATTTACCTAGGAAGGATGTTTGGGGATGTTTAGGGAAACAACATAGATGTGTTTTCTCAGTTTATTGAAAAATCAATAAAATTTTGCTCATAATATCATCCAATGAACCAACTGAGCAGTTGGTCTTTATTTCAGGTTTATTGAAAAAAAAAAGGCCAAAAAATAAAAGCATATTCGAAGGAAAGAGCCACATTAAACAGATTCAACAGAGATTCAATAGGCACTATTTTTTCCCTCTGTAGAAAATGTGCTTCTATCGAGATTTTTCAACCTAGCTATTTTTAGTTGCATGAGACACAAAGACTACACGATCATCATAAAGATGTCAGCTGGTCCTGGCCTTCCCCAGGCACCTGCAGGAATGATTCATGCGATTAATGACAAACTATCTGCATATGGAGATGGTAATACATCTTCCATCTGTTATAAAAACATGAGTTATCAGTGCCACAGAGAGTGCTTTTACTCAGTATGTGGTATTGACCGGGAGGCCTGACTCCTAAAGTATACAGAAATGAAAACTCACGTGACATCATACCTGCTTAGGTACAGCTTCAGCGTTACAGTAAAYAATTCTACTGTTTGTTGGTGGGAAAGTCCCACCTGTCACAACCCAGGAGCCGTCCAGCTGCAGAGGCTCCTGACAAAACCAGGAAAGGCCAGGCATCTGTGAGGTCCTTCCATCATCCTGCACCTGGAAGTGGAAAACTAAGGAGTTGTCAGGGAGTGGGGAATAACTATRGAATATTCTAGAAACCTCCACCTGGATTGTCCAGCTCTCAGTGCTGAGTACTGGACTCCTGTGTAAGGAATTGCCTGTGTGTTTGGAATCSCAGTGCATTTAGGAGAGTGTTGGGCCTGGCTGACCATGAACCCAAGAGAGGGCAGGCTGGGTTCSCCATGTCCATCTACCTCTACCTTGGGGGGCAACACAGACGCGTTTTCTCAGTTTGTTGAAAAATCAAAGTTTGCACAAAAAAATCATCCAGTGGGACCAACTGGTCTCCCTTCCAGCCTCTAGTCCATCTCCCAGGGCCCTGGGCTCCTGCAACACAGTGCCCACGAGCAGAAAGGAGCACCATACAGGAGAAGGCTCAGGGTTCAGGGGAAGATGGGAGATATTCAGCTTCTACCATCTAGCATGGTTGAGGCCCTGATGGGTCTCCTGTCCCCTGGGGCTCGGCTTTCCAGGGAACTTCTCAGCCACTCAGGGATCTGTGGGGATCAGGAAGGACCCTTGGGGTCCCAGCATGTAGTAGGACCTTGGTGACTAGTAATTAGCGACCTTTGATACCAAAGGTGTCAGAAGGGGACTGGTGCCGTTGGGAAGGACCCCTTCTGAGGAGTGAGCATTGGGAACAGGCATGAGGAACACAGGGTACAGGAGAGCTGCTCTGTGGGCCTCAGGGGAGGAGGCCTGGGTGGTTCAGGGGCAAACACCCAGGCCCTGGGTGTGGGGACAGACCTCCAAGCCCTCTGGCCCCAAGAGCCCCCAAATCTCTGTGGCCAGACAGGCTCCTCTGGACTTGGGCTGATGCCCAGCATACTTCTCCATTCTGCCTTTGGATCTGGGGTTGACCATCACAGGAGGGCATCAGGTGACACTGCACCCCCTGGTGGCACAACGAGGGGACACTTAGGGGGAAATGGGGATCCTCGGGATGTGCTTTCAGCAGTGGAGTTACTCAAGCAGGCGGTTACTCAAGCAGGGCCATAGCAGTGTAGGAAGTCACCTCATGGTCTGCTTCTTGTGACTCTCCCCGGGTGTTGGTGTTTGTTCCCTGAAATATGTGAAACTAATGGTGGTGTTCTCCCAGCACGTGGGGAGGCCGACTTTTGTACTGTTTCTCAGGCCCACGTAGGTAGGTCTTGGCAGCTGCCCTGATGTCACTCAAGCCACTTGTGTGTTAGAGGTTAGGTCCAAGTCTGCTGCAGGAAAGTCGCTCAAAGAGAAGAGGTGCTGATTAAATATGAAAACAGTAGGTCAGGTCACCAGGAGATGGTATTTCATTCCTTTAACAAGAATTCTTGTTTTCTTTGGAGTAAACCATTTTCTTCATGAGATCACCAAAATATAATCTAAGCAAAAACAGTGGTCCACAGGATAATATTTGCACACATGCAGCACATGGATGTGCAGAATTCCTCCTGCAGGACCTGGGAGAGTGGCTGCCTTTAGCAAAGAGACATTTTTCCTTCAGAACTTTGGGAGTTTCTAATGTCAGTATTATATAATGCATGTTTGTGCAAGAAACGGAAAACATGAGAATCTATGTAAATGGAAACAATTTTTAAATAAGATGAAATAATAAAAGAGGGTGAAGAAAGCAGTTGGCATGACCATGTGCAGAAATTGGAGGCTGTCAGTGCCTTTCCTGCTGTTCCTGGGACCTGGCAGTCCTGGATGCAGGGAGCTCCACCTGTTAAGGGACGTGAATGAACCGTGCTGTAGAAACCCCAGAGAACAGAGATTATATTGCTCTTAGAACAGAAGAGTACTGTATAAGCCTTCAAAGGAAAAAAAAAAGATATTCTGCTAGTATATTCAGGTTTAAGGTGACTTGAAAAAAGTGATTATAATCCCCAAGAGCCTGAATTTAAATATGCTGCGCTCACTGTGGAGAGGCCTCCTGGTGGCCATAGCATTTCAAAGAGGAGCCTGATTACGATGTCTCTAATTTTGGAGTGGGCTTCTCATCTTGCTCTTTTCTAAGCACTTGAGCCTTGGGGTAGCGCCTTCTTTTTGAGCCTAGCATGGCTGTGATTCTGCCCTCAGAGTTCAACATGTTCCACATGATCGCCGTGGGGCTCAGCAGCTCCATCCTCGGCTGCCTCCTCACCCTGCTCATCTACACCTACTGCCAGCGCTACCAGCAGCAGTCCCATGACGCCACCGTCATCCACCCCGTCTCTCCCGCCCCCCTCAACACCAGCATCACCAACCACATCAACAAACTGGACAAGTACGACTCCGTGGAGGCCATCAAGGTGAGGAATCGGCGGTGCCGGCTGTCAGCAAAGGTCCCTGGTGTTGGCGCTGGTGATTGGGTTGGTGGAGGGTAAGGGGACCTTCGTGATCATCCACCTTTTAAGCTTTGTTTTGCCTGGAAAACCATGGCCTCTCATGTGGGGATAAGTTTAAAAAGGGACATGAAGACAGCAGCACACCAACTGCGAGATTCCAGGTCTGTGGCCCCTGTTCAGCTCTGAGCCACCCTTGCTGTGGGGCCTGAACTCAGGCATCAGAGATGCGCTCCCAGCCGAGGCCCTGAGCACCACGGGGCAGTCAGACACCCACTCCCATTGCAGGAGCAGACCCAAGCTTCTTTGAACCTCTTTATCTTTAAAATCGTAGTCTTCATCTTTTATCTGATGGCACACACTCTTGCACGGTTCTTGTGATGGTGCCCTAATATACAGGAGGCTTCCTGCATCTGCACAGAAGGCCACAGGTGTAACCTGAGAGACATCAAGGGTCTAGTTCACCTCACCTGCTCTTTCCTACCACCCACATGGAGGAAGAGGGTTTAGTGAGACCCTGAGCTGGGTCTCACTAAATTCCCACATTCCTGTAGGTTGGGGACTCCCTTCACGTTCTTAGGGAGGTCTGCTGTCCGCTCTCTGTGAAATTGGATTTCCTTCCTACACAACAATAGGAACATGTTCGCTCTCACAGCTTTGGGTGGAGGGGAGAACTTGATTCCCAGGAGCTGTGTGGTCCTCCCTTGTCCATTCCCTACTGTGTGGCCTCCACTCCTGAAGGCACAGCCCGTTGGCTTTACCCATGGACTCTGCTTAAACCAGGGTCCAGAATCCATTAGCACTGACTTCCCCAGGTGACAGGCCCAGGGAGGGAGCATCAGGACTCATGACAGACCCCCATAGCCTCTCAGAAATGAACTCCTAGAGGGCGAGGAAGAACAGGTCTACTCTTATCCAAGGCTTCCAGAACCCAGAGTGGTCTTCTCTGCATGATTCCAGCAGATCCACTTACCCGTGGTCCTGTTGATTCAGGAAGCAGAAAGGAATTTAGCTGGTCTGTGTTCCCATTTAAGATGCAGTAACTTTCAAGATGATCAGAAATGCTGCTGCCATGAAGCAGAGGAACTGGAGGGTGTGGATTGCTGCCTGGTCTTTAATAATCCTTCTAGAACTTTATTCTGACATCTTGTCCAGGCGGGTCCTAAACAACTGGCCTCTGCCCCTTCTGCTACATCTTTATTTCGATCCTCTTAATATTTACTCTTTATTGGATGTAGTTGTTCTCTTTGAAATTACAGGTGACTTTAATGACTATTAAGGAGGTAGCCATCCATGTTCAGAGATGGCTGCATCAGTCACCTTCTGAGGGCAGAGAGAAGAAATAGAAATCAAGGCAGTTTCATTGAATGCATTTGCTTAACTATGTTCTGTCAAGATCTCTGATGAGTGTACCCATCCATGGAAATCTGGAAGCCACTTAAATGGATACTTAGACATATGTGGTGACTTTCAAAGTGTCTGCTAACTTGAAATCATTCAAGTTATGGTTTCCTAGGGGTTTAGATTTAGGTTTTCTGACCCTCTACTTCTCTTCCTACTTCCAAACTAAAGTTCAAAACTAGAGTGGAAGATACCCAAAGCAGCCAACCTTATTCTAGTTACTAGTCAAGTCTTCCATGAGGCAATGGATCTGGGAAAATCAGTGAATGAGGAAAACTGTCAAGAAGAGGGGAAGCCTAGGAGAGAACTCAAGTTAGCATAACGGTCTCCTAGTTATATTTCCCTCTGAAGTGCTACTTGTGGAGTATTCTTAAATCTTTCTATAATGTATTTTACAGGCATTTAACAAAAACAACTTGATCCTAGAGGAAAGAAACAAGTACTTCAACCCGCACCTCACGGGGAAGACCTACTCCAACGCCTACTTCACAGATCTCAATAATTACGATGAGTACTAGTAGTGCTTAGTCCTGGGTTTCTCGGTTTTTGTAAATCCTCAATTCCTCAAAGCCTGTGCTCCATGACTGCCCATGTTTCTGAGGCTTCAGAGATAAAGTGTGGATAGACTTCAAGTGCATTTCAAGCCAATAGTGTCCCATTGCTGAGAAAAAAAAAATACACATCCTTAAAAGCAACAAAAATCTAACTGTGGCGTCGTGAAGTCTGGTCCATAACAAACACTTGATCATTGTTGAATGAGCCATGGTGTGACATTTGTTTTTTAATTATGTTCAGTCCATTTTTCTAAAAACCTGTTGTTTCCATGAGCTTTATTTTATCAGTGTGCCGCTCATATTGGAAGGAATCTTTAGAAAGAAAAAAATGTCTTTTTGCTTTTAAGAGTAAATCTTCCTGATGTTTTAATTTGAGGAAATGGGTCCTTTATCAGAGACCGCCACCCTCCACAAGGTCCATAATATTTGATAAAACAACAAAAATAAAGTGGCCAGGCAGTTTTTCATCCTGGATCACCCAAGGTCCTGATCTGGGTGATATTGTGGATTCTCAGAAGCAAACTTGTGTTTGGACTTTAAATAATTCTTGCCCAGGGAAGCCCAGGGGTTCCACCTGACCTGGACCTGCAGAGGTCAGGGTCGACTGAGACATCCTGCTGTGGCCTGGGGGCAGTGACTGTTCTCCCTGTGCAGGTGAGCAAGGGGGCAGAGGCTCAGACACAGGGAGATGTGGCCCTGGCTTGCAGCTTGCTGCAGAACCAGCCTTCTCCTGACTTTGGACTGCATGGTGTTCCCGGGAGATCCTCGCCACACTGTTGGCCTGGAGCCTCCCACCTGGCCACGGCGACATCCTGAAGAGCCGGCATCTAGAGGAACTACTGGTTCAGCATTTGGACAGACTGTATACCTTCTTTCTCCCTGCAAAGAACCATTCTGGACTTTTATGATGCTGATTAAGGAAAGTATTAAAAATACTGAACTATAATTGAAAACAACCTTTTTTTTTTTAATTTTCCACGTTATGCCAAGCGTTGAAAGAACTGACATTTAATGAAATATCTTTTGTTCTCCATCTCCCTGATGTAACAATGTGTGGCAATCAGCCCCTACTAGAGCATTAATGAAGTGTCAAGCTGGCTTTCCAGAGCCCACCTCAGTCTACCCTGACGGGACCCCCAGCAGAGCTGCACTCACTGCCCTAGGCCAAGGGAGGAGGGAGAGTTTTGTTCCGGTGCCTTCTCTTTACCCCAGTCTGCCTCCCGTCCGCCCAGTCCCACCAGTCCCACTCTTCCCTGCAGGGAGGCAAAGGCAGTTCAGGCGCACTTGGAAGTAAGGATGGGCCATCTCCATGGTCTCAGCACTGGTCATTAATTAACAATTCATAGTGTTTTAAAGCCATTGCTAGAAGTCCCCAGAAGGAAAAAAAAAGATAGAAATTTTACACAACTGACAGGTAGCATGTGGCAGCTGGTTCAATAATTATTGAAAGAACAAAATTGAAAATGTTCATCTGAATCCTCCGGGCCTTGGGGTAAAGGCCTGAGCAGATAGCTATATCTGTTCTTCTTGATGAATGGACCTTCAGATCTGTAAAATATATAGTACGGGTAGCGAAGAACACAGAATTTATTAGCATATGCGTTTTCACTATATCCAATTTAAAGAAGCAATTTCAGAAAATGTTGGAAAACTATGATTAATAATGAATATTGTACAATTCAAAAGATTCCCAAATGCCCAAATTTGCAGAAATGGTTCTGTATTAAAATTTTTAAAATGGCAGGTGGGCTCTAGGAGATGTGCTAGGTTGGATCTGGAATGTTAGATTGTAAATGGTTGATATACAGGACCTCACCAGTGGGGCTCCATGTGGCATTTCATGCATTCTAGGCACTCTGCAAAAGAGTCCACTGCTGTACACACGTTCTTGAAATCCACACTAACAGGTAAAATGCACAGATGGCTGGTTGGGTTTTCCTTGTCTGCTTGAACTCTTTACTTTCTGCTAAGAAAAAGTTTTTTCACTCTGTAGAACGAACTTTCTCTCTCTCTCTCTCTCTCTCTCTCTCTCTCTCTCTCTCTCACACACACACACACACACACACACACACACACACACACACACACCTTCCCTTCTTGAATATTTTCTCAGTTTCAAAGTTGCTTTACTTCCCCTAAGAGGGAGAAGGCTAAATTTCAAGAACTTGTCATTGGGCTTAATGGACATGTTTCCAATGGCATCTAAGCTGGTCTCTACTACCTGTATGTCAATGCAGGGTACACCCTCTGCACCCCAGAGCTCTCATGGTGTGGACAGTAGAAACCCTCTAGAGTACTACTGTGAAAAAAGCCCTTCACTCACTGCTACCTGACACTGTATTCAAAGGAAAATCGCCTCCCCACCTCACCCTCTCTCTCTGGTTCAGCAGAACCGTGCTTGGTTTGCTGTATTGGAGCTGGAGTTTGAGTCTTTTAACCACCTGTGGGCTAACAGTCCCCCAGCACTGCACGGCTGTTCCCTGTGGGTACTGTGCACTGTCCCTGCTCCAGACCCCCGCTGTCTACATGATCCCTCCTGCAGAGATGTCTGTCTAAGAGTCTGACTGGACTTAGCCTCAGTAGGAGGGAAAGGGAAGAGGGCTTCTATGTGCAGAGTGGGGGCAGAGACTCTAAAGGGACTGAAGAGGAATTTGAAGCAGTGAAAGCTGTGAAGGTCTCCTCGCCAAGGAGTCACCTCAGTCCCTAGATAGGGTCTTCAGTGGACCAGCTTCTGGCCCCACTGGCCCATAGGCCATGCCAGAGAAAAAAAGAAGTAAACATGGGAACAATAAGTAGGTGCCATGGAAAGATGGGGTCTTGTCACTCCCCTGTGAGTGCTAAGGACAGGCCGTGGGGGGATCACGGTCCACACGCACAGTTCTGTGGGCATGACCTGTGGACTCTTCCAGGATCAGCTGCCCAGAGTGCAGCAGTCCCAGGCAAAGGTGTCCTTGTTTATATTCTTACACAAAAGGTTGGAGATCATGGGAGCCAAGGCCTATTCCAGTGAATGTTCTGACCAGAGTATTTGGTAGAATTAATGGGTCTTGCCTTTGACATTGTGGACAGTCTTAGCAAGGCAGACTCCGTGTCCCCAAGATATCACTAAAGGTTACATTAAAGTTTAATGGGATGTTACAGGAATTTTTTTCCTAAACATAATACATCAGGGATGGATCCAGCTATTCATTTTGCCTAAACACAACTTTGATAGCATTTGAATTTATACTTCTTTACTCTATTTGTCTTGCTTTTGTAATGAATCAAATTAATTCCCCGAGCACTGGTCAAGCCATTTCCCTCATCTGTGTGGCCCCAGGGCCATCGACTTTCTGTAGCTTTGAAGTGTTCTTTATACTTCAGTGAGACTTTCCTGATTTGAGTGGCATTTGGGGATAACTCCATTGAGTTTAGTGTCTCTGTCTCAGAACATGGCTCTAGAGCACCTTCCGGAGGCAGCAGGTAACACAGGTTGATAAAGTGAACTAAATTAACATTAAAATTGCCATTTCCCAAGTGACAAGCTAGGTCTAAATCCCACAGCTCAAATAATCAAATTAAACTAGTAACATGAAATCAACTCTTATGCAAACTTCCTGCCATTGTTTTTAATGACCCAAGCTGGAGTTTGCAGATGGAACTGGCCCTGACCAGCACATCCATTCTTCCAAAGCCTCCATGTCTTTATGGGGATTTATGCTGACATGACATTGTCAATATTTGATTACCTATTATTATCCATGATTGTCTATTATTGGATACTAGAAGCCATTCTGAGCACCCTGCTTATTTGGACAATGAGTGTGAAATGGTAGCGTGCTTTCCCGTAAAATGTCGCTAGTGCCTTGTGGAAGATGATGGAGTACCGTGACACTCAATAGTGTGGGTTCCAGTTAGAAGCAGACGGTCGATTGGATATGTTTTAAAGAAAATCATCCTTACACACCACTCTGAACTCAGGAATAGAAAATGACCAAGACACACTTCATCTCCAGGTGTGCATTTGCTCCCACTGGGCTATGGTGTGTTCAGAAAAGTGGGAAACCCCACCTCAGTCTCCCAGAAACTGACATGGCTCTAATTCCTACATCTTCCAGAACCCACAGCAGCATCTGTCCTTAACAGGAAGGTCAGTGTGATGCCTGTACAAATTAGAGACCTTGGTTTCTGTTCCCCTCCAGGCAAGTGCACAGGAAAAGATTAACCAGACACATGCTGCTAACAATTGGTACAGAGCTGGGTGTGGAAGGAGGACCACCTAGAACGTTGTCTAATTGATTATTTTTGTATATTCAACGTCAACACTGCTTCACATATTTGCAAAAGTTGTTAATTTGTTTTTTTTTAATTTAACAATGTTTTCTCTGCTAAAGTGGACTGCTTTTGCTTTATACCCTAACTGTGGTAAAAAATCAAGCTTGAACTTCTGCACACGGATGGAAAGCAGCACAGGCGCCTCAGCCCCAGCACCTGGAGACACCACAGCAGCTCCGCCCAGCTGCTAGGAAAATGCACAAGCTTGGTCCTGCACAGGGTTCTTCAAAAGTGTGTAGCAAAACCTGTGTGTTCTGCCACTGATTCGCATTTAAACATGTTACGCCTCATTTTGTGTTCACCTGCTGTTGCCTGTTTTGTGATACAAAATAAACTTATTTGGGATTGTTTCATTTTTTTTTTCATTGAAATTTCTCCAAAACCTACTCAGCTCTTGGTAAGCTTACAGACATTACTGATATGAAATTAATTATTAAAATGCAATGTGTTCTAAACATTGCAGGGATTTTTTTCAAGAATGAAATAGTTCTATATTTCCCCTTTCTTTGAGGAAATAGGACATTGGTAGTTGTGTTGGAGTGCTTGGGGATGCCTAGATTTTTTGTGGGGTCACTGGGCACACTGAACTTTTTCTCGACACTTATATTTGGTCCTCAAGGTTTCCTTTGAACACTTCTTGGTAGACATATGCAACAGCAATTTCCAGTGGGCATCACTTTTTGTCTGTTTTTTGTCCATCAATACGCTGGTCTTAGATTCTTCCTGAGAGCTGTCCAGGACTATGCCTCACATTGTTGCTTAATGACACCTGACAGATAACATGGTTTTCAGAATTAGTTTAAGACACTAATTGTGGCAAACTGGGCAGGGAGCTCTTTCTGTCTTGCATTGGATCAATTATGGAAGTTAAGAAAGGATCTGGATGGGGTATTACCCAGCCAATCAGCAAAAAACAACTCACACTTGCTCCAAGCTCCTTTTTCTCCAAGGAAAATGGACACACATGAGATGAAGTGAGCTCTTCTAGCAGTGAAAATGTTGTGTTCACTCACATTCCTGGTGCATCACCAACTTCTAGAGCTCAACTCCATCCATCCTTTTATGAACAACAAATTCATGCAGCATGATTCTGACTACTCCCAGGAGTGCAGCCCTCTTCCTTTCATGGCCACTCCCTCCTCACTCCTCCTATCATCTCTGTCTGCCTACAATTTGGGGGAACAAAATAAGAGAATCCAAATAATGTACAGTATAAATTGTATTATATTTTTTGTACGTAGGTTTTATGTAAATAGTTTGTCTCATTCAATTGTATGTGAGCGTTGAAATAAACCCCACCATTTAGGAAAAACAAGAGTACCATTTTCCTTCTTATATCTTCCAAGTACATGTCTCCCAAGATGTGCCACTTAAAAGAGAGAGTCTCATCAGAGTGCAGTGAACAGCCTCCTGGGGAAACCAATAACACTCTCTTGTTGTCTTGGTAGACATGTGCAACAGCTTAGGCTCTTGACTTGTGGCCAGGACAGTACTGTACATACTTGATGAAGTAGGAGAGAACATTTGGAAATATTGCCATGGGCAACAGGTGCTTCGTGACCAGAAAAACCAATCAGATTTCCTGTTTACTAGGAGTGGGTGTTGGGTCCTGGTGATGAGTACCAATCACGTTTTATCCAATGCAGTCTTCCACTCTTCCTTGCATAAAACAAGGACGATTTTTAATCCAGAGATGTGTTTATCGACATCATCTTTCATGTTTTCACTTAGACATATTATACATGTAAGTGTTTAAGTATTATATTTGGTTATCCTGAAACATTATTTGTTATACTGGTTTTTCATTTTACATAGACTTTTAAAGTTTTAATTTGGTATTTTTTTTTCAATTTTTGTTTTTATTTATTCTAATTAGTTATACATGATAGTAGAATGCATTTTAACACATTGTACATAAATGGAGCATAACTATTCATTCTTCTGTCTGTACATGGTGATGAGTTACATTAGTAGTATGATTATATATATATATATATATATATATATATATATATATATAGTAATTATGTCTGTTTCATTCTACTGTTCTTCCCAGTAAACTGGTGACAATCCATCAATCCATCAGTTTGAACACAGCTAGATGATGCTTGATGTAGAAAAACAACTATTGAGACAGCCATATTTCAATGTTCATAATATCATTTAAAAAGAAAAGAAATATATACATGTGTGTATTTATATAGTTAATATATACACATGTGTTTATACCTAAATATGCATGGGTATAATTATACACACAAAAACATACACATTTTTCAATTGATCAGAAAGCCAACAAAGCTCACTTAATGTAGGGGCTACCAATTAACATAATAAAATAAAATTAGCTGTATAAATTTAAACTAATAAAGCATATTATAAAGATTAACTATTTTGTCTTCAAAATATTAAAATTTAAAGCATTTAATGAAGAATGTATCTGGCTATTAATTTAGCAAGTAGAATGAATACATGCTGTATCACAGTTTTCTTAAAATTCGTTTCCACAATTTTCAATCATGTTAATGATATATGTCCTGGTGTTCGGATGCTCTCCAACAATGCTCGGGTATCAAAGAGCTCCTTTTAGAAATTTCTCCAGTTGCTCCTATGAGCTTGAAATATGACTTGAAATATCTTCCTGGACCTATTTGAAATATATAATGTAATTTTGCATTTAAAGTGTCTCTTCAAGCCCAGTTTGTGAAGAACAGTAGAAATGACTGAATGTACCACTAGTGTAACTGCAGCTAGCTACTTGATGTAAGAGGAAATCCTTCTTAAAATAATATCTGAAACAGTGTTCTTTTCTGGAGTTATTCTTGTTTCCCTTAAGTCGATCTGACTTTGTTTATAAAGTCAAACAAAGGGATATTCATAATTGTTCTTCTCTCCTTAAMCTGCTTGTTGCATGTTTTCCTTGGAAGCTCCTGGGGTTCTCACCTCAGCCTGTAATCACAGGTCGGGGGGCCAGGATTGAGAGGAAGGAGATCACACGGGGTAACAGGGTTCCGGGAGTTGCCCAGATCTGAAGACTGTAGGTACTGAATGCATAGCCAGGGAAAAGGAGGTCTAAGGTAATTCTTTTTTGAATTATTTCTGTACAATGAGCAGGGGCTGCAAGTTTGTCTCTAGTTCTTAGAAATGCTATTAAGAGTCTGAAAATGAGTCTTATCACAGCACACAGAAAAGAAGGCTGAGTTAGGGCTTCTTAATTCTTTGCCAGCTCTTCATCAGTCAGGTGTCTGCGAGGGCCTTTTCTGAGGCCACGGTTTCAGGGGCTGTCTCTGTCGTGAAGAAGCTGGCTTTCTTCCCATTCACTGGCCCCCCTCTTGTCCACCTCAGAGTCACTTCCTGTTTCCTCAGAGTCACTTCCTGTTTCCTGCTAGTACATACCTGGCACATGGCACAGGCTCTCTTTGTGTCTCTTCGAGGCCCTGCC